GCAATGCAAACCCTCAGAGGTATGGATGCTCTGACTAAAAGTTAGATGGTTACACATACCCTAAATTCTTAATATGGAGCCAACAAGTTTCTAACAGGGATAAACCAATCTATATTACTCCACATAAAGCAGTAACTTGCCATACTAAAAATTCAAAAGTATGCAATATTTCTAAGAAAATATTTTGAAGATTTACTAGCTTGGTCATTTTGAGTATTGACATTATTTTCCAAATAGCATTATGTCCTTTTAAAATGTTAAGACTACTTCTGCTGAAACTTAATTTGTAAAACCTCTAGTATTACTTTCTGACATGACAAAGGAAGGAAATAACAGAGAATTTGTTTAAGCAGCAATTTTTGTGATTTAAACTAGTCCTGCACGAGATAATTCACCATTACTGTGGGTTTTCAGTTACAGGACAATGATGACAGGGTTTCAGAAATAATGTGGTGTTGTTGCCTGTGCATAGCAATTAGTTAGTGGCCTAGTTCAGATGAGAGTTTCAGTGTTTTATAAAATGTCTGAAGAATAGCTGTCCCAGTTAACATAATTAACTGCAAGGAACAGTTGAAGGGTACAGTTTATTTATTTCAGGAAACATTACTGAAAAAATTAAATAAATTTGTGCTATAAACGAGCCCTAGGGAGAAATATGAGTCAATGGGAAATTCTAGGTAGAGTACATGGAATGGACTGATAATAACTTCACTGTGCAGCACCAGATATCTTGCCTGGCAAATAATCAGATATCTTTTTGCTTAAGTTTGTGTTTATTGATTTGTACTCGTAAGAAGCAAGAAGAGACTTCTCCAGGAAAAACATTACGTGTCTAGGACTGTTCATGTTAAAAAATCAGTAATAAATAAATAAACAGCCCTATAATTAAACCTACAATGGTTTAATCCTAGCAGGAGAGAACAGTATGTCTAAATAAAGCTACATACCACTACTTGTTACCCTATCCTACTATTACTTGTTGTAGAGTTCTCATAATTCTTTAGGGGATGTTCACACCATGGATTTCACATATATCACTACTCAAAACCTCTAAATCCCCCTTAAAAACAGAATGCTATTTATCTTCAGTAAATTCCACCTCCATGTAGCCCTTGCAGCCCTGCAGCATTTTTCAGAAGGAAGGCACTGCAAGGGGAAAGAGAACAGCAGAAGTAGTGCTGAAGTTTGTGTCAATAAATTATGGGGACTGAGGACTTCCTGAGCCAGAGCTTACCAGCACACTGCTACAACTAACAGCCATAGATTTTGTCTGATTCTTTTTTGAATCCCCGTGCTTTGGTTTATACGATATCCTGGTGAGCTGTATTTCATAATTAACAATGTATTGTTTGAAAACGTTGTAGCTTCTCAGCTCTCGCCAGGCTTATTTTTTTAACTCCTACCTCAGTAGTATGATGATATGATGAATGATAAATAATCAATACCTGTTACCTATGCTAAAAATCTTTGGGGTTGAGATGATCAATAATGCAGACAGTATCCAAAATGTAAGTGTACTATGTATGACTTAATACCACATAGATATTCTCTCTTTATTTTCCAGGTTTTATGCATCGGTAATTTCTGAAACTCTATTTGCTTTTCTTACTGCCTCTAAAAGTCTGTGCCAATCTGTGGTGACTCTGTGGCCTCTTTCCTAAGTGGTCTTAAGTAAATTAGAATAATTCATTGTGTGTATGTATAATACTGGGATTAACTATTTAATCTGCCATTTCATTACCAAGTCACTTAGTATTGCGAGGACTTTTGAAACTGAATCTCACTCCACCCCCCTCCTGTAGCTGTGAGCATAGACTCTCTTTTGCCAAACTCTCTGACCATAAGGACATAGCTCTGTGAGTAGAAAAGACAAGATTTTTCTCATAATCCTGGCATCATGCATCTTTTCAGTAGTTCTTGGAACAGTTCTTGTGAACTTGCCCTGATGGCAAAAAAAAAATGTTGCAGATGACATTATTTGTGGTACCTGAACAATGGGTACGAGCATTACTGTTGTTCCCTACAAAGTGTGAGCTCCCCATCCTCTGACATCCAGAAATCATCGTACTTTTGATGCCCACGACCTCTGGTCAAACCACAAAACTTCTGTTGCCACAACTGTTTTGGTGATTGATTGGCCAACACTAAACTGTATTGCAGAAGATGTATGTAAGTTACATGTCCATAGCTATAATTTGGAGCACAGTGGCAATTTACCTCTGCAATAAATAGCTGCTCAGGCCCTTACAAATCAATAAGTCAGCATAACAAAGTGATCCTGCTGTATTCTGCTTAAGTAGAAGGAGTTCATAACAGAGTTTTCTGGTTTATACCTTAGCAGAAATGGAAAGAATCAAATAAAAAAGTGTAACACAAAGGGTTTTTACAAATGTCTTAAATTACAGCTACATAATGGATGAGGAAGGCCAGAGGAGTTCCTGCAGTGCATACCGGTCCTAAAGCAATTCCAGTTAATATGGCAAAATAAATGTGGGCCATGTTCCCAGAAATCATGGGATAGCTGAGATGCTGAAAAATATTAATGTAGAAATATAAGGTTTAGTATGTACTTGCCCTTTGTACTGCAAAGTCCAGGTGGTGGATTTGGACATGTGGACACCAAAAAGTGATATAGGTGGTACCACTAACATATGTTAAAGAGAAATCTTGCCCCCTAAAACAGGCTCCTAAAGGCATTTTGTTTGTTTGTTTGTTTGTTTGTTTGTTTTTCACTGTGCAATGCAGACAGGTTAGCTGGTGAAATTTAGGTGGTCTGGAAAGGAGTTCTGCAGAAGGCAGAAAGTCGGGGTCCTCACAGTGCATTGATAAAAGAGGTAACATAGTAGGCAGCATCTTTCCCTGTAATTCTTACAATTCTATTTGATTATGGACTTTTCCTATAGTATAACTATAAATGAAGTTATACTACATACATACTTGCTTTAACTTCTCTGATCATGTGTGCCTCAAAAGTGAGTTGTGAGAAATACATTTGTCCTGACTGAGTCAGAACACTGTGCATGCTTTAGAGCTGGATCCAGAAAGGAATTGTTTGTTATAAGAACCATTTTTTTGGCCATGCAGTAAGTCTAGACTTAGGGCTTTGAGAAAGCTGTTCGTTCATATGGAAGGAGCGTATCTCCCCCACATCATGAGATGTTAATTCCTCTTTAAACAGTTTCTCTTCCAAAGAATTCAAATGGTTTAAAGTGTTTGCTCTCAGCAGATGTTTTTGTATACTGAGTAACATCCATAAGAATATTTTGCGGCTGGGTCAGAAACAGAAGCTGTCAGAAGCTTAATCTCCATATCGTGAGAGCACCACTGCAACTTATATGTCATAATGAATCTGACAGGACAAAGATGCAATGAAAGCACGTTTCAGTAACAGATAGCCTTTGCGTAACCTTTAATCTCCAAAGTACTTTGTAAAGACCAAGTGAACAACCTTTATGTCATCTATCTGGAAACTTGTAGCTGCACATTTCTACTGTCACTTTGCAAAACAATATGTCAAATAAAAAACTGCCCGTCATACAGAGTGCTGAGCACCAAGAATTTCTCCTGTTTTACTAAACGGGCCCTTCTAGAACTGGGCTTTTAAATGATCTAGCAGCTTTTGCAGGGAATATTTTGATGACTATTCATTTTTTTTTGTTATTGTTGCCTTTGTTTGGTTTTGGGGCATGTAGGACTGTGATCTGGAGTCAGGACATGCTGGTGTAAACTAAAAGACATAGTCCCCACCCCACAGTTTTCAAAGCAAGGTCCCAATCCAGCCAACATTTGGGTGAGTATTATAATTTTATACGTGCAAGAGGTTCCCATTAGACTTCCACTGGGAAAAAATTACAGAAAGACCACACCTGCTGAGCTTCAGTCTTCTGGCAAGCACTGTACAGAGGCCTAATGGGAATGTGCAGGGAAGAAAGGTTGCCTGGATTATAAAAAAGGGTGTGAACCTTCCAAACTCTCAGGGTATGTGCAAGTTTATATTTGGATAACCCAAAAGCTATGCATGCAAATTGTCAGGGAAAATAAATGAATGGTGCATGTGCAGTATATCAAACGTCTTTGTGTCTCAACCAATATTTTCATATGCACCAAAGCGCACATTCCTTGCCGAGGGTTATATACAATGAGACATGTTTAGAGTTTGGAAAGCCAAATGATTTGAATATATCTGAATGCAGAAAGCAGTAACTCACTTTCGTTAATATTCAGGAACACTTTTTGTATTCAGTTATGGCTTTCAAAAGAAAGTAAATGATTTTCTGATCTAACAATCATGAGACAATGCTAGAATTTATTTTTGAAGTTCAAAATAATGAAAATGGAAATGCTGTCTCAGCTATCACTTCAGTTTCTACTTTGTTTCCTTTGGCCACATTTTTTTTCATGGAAACTACTGTAATGTATTTTTTTAAGAAACTATGTCATGTTTTGTATATGAAAAACATCACGAATGAGCTATATATCCTTTACCTGATCTCATGGTTCCACTCTACAACTGTAAATCTCACGTTTCTGTACTATTTCTTTCTGATGACTCATAAATCTCATCATACTGTGGTGGTGTAGCTTTAGTGTGTTAAGTATATTTACGTCCTAAAGCTATTATCAGTTGTCTTAACCCCTAAACTGGCTCTACTGCTCTTGCCAGCTTTGCAGGGACTCCTAATGATCTCCCTTTGCACTCCAAACTCCTCAATAGTCTGTGACAGGTATAGTATTTCATTTGGGGTTCAGGTACAGCGTGTCTATAGGTGTAGCTTCTGAATCTTCTCCTTTACACCCATAGGTGGCATTCGTACCAGTTTGTAGCATGACGAGCCTTCCCTGTGCTTTCTGAAAATATCTGACATCTCAAAATAGTTTCTCTCAAATGTGCTGGTAACACAGTTTCCAAGACACTGTAAATTTAGTCCAAGATATATTTAAAAGACTCTGCATGAAGTAAAGACTTAAAATCTGCCTTTCTTCTCGGCCTTGTTTTTCCCCTGTTAACTGAACCATGCAGTGTAACAGCCTGCTCGTTTCTAGCAGCCGTGATCTTGTCTCCTGCTCACTATAAGCTCCCTCCTGCTAGGTGCTGAGCTCTCCAGACATCATTCATCACAGTCTTTGGATGCTTTGCTGCTGGATGAAGATCAGTGTCTAGCACTTTTCAGGATAAAGATCTGCTCCAAGAAGGATCGTTTGTCCTTTGCTCCTGTCAGAGAATGGATCCCAAATCAAGGAGTTATCTGTTCTTCCTGGTTCATTTATCTGTCAAGACAGAGGTGATTACACCAAACTGGGGGACTCTGAAATTAGCTATATTTACAACATCCCATCTGCGTTGCTCAGTAATTATGCTAAGATTATGATAAACTCCATATATCTGCATAAGACTTAAATCAGTAATATAAATAAATTAATAATAATCTAACCATATATAGACCACATTTTAACTTTATTATTTTTTATCAAGCAATAATGAACTGGGAATTTGTCCCAGTATGCTAAAAACCTAGCTAATAAATCCTAAATTACTTTTGAATTAAGAACATAGAGGCATATGGGCTACACAGAAAGATAATAAGAAACTTGGTTCACATATATAGTTACTACAGTAACAACAAAAAGCAAACATTTTCTGGGAAGATAAGGATTCACACAGTAACCTTATCAGTGAGCTGAGAGAAGGAGAGGAACAAAAAAATTCAAATGTGCAAATTGGCTACACCTTGTTTCAAAGCACAGCAGTACAGGCTGTACACAACAATACTCTACAGAAGTTTTATAATCAAAGCTCTACCTTCCAGTCCAATTTGCATTAACTTTACTGGAGTCGGTGCAGTTGCATGCACTTACAGTGTGGCATAGCAGCTGCAGTTAGCCTGAAGTAGCTGTGTTTCTCTAAGCTATGTTTTGTTGTACTGGAACAACTAAAGCTGTGTCCTGTCCCATTAAAGAAAAGAATTTTGCCATGTCTGTGCATTGGAGGGGGACAGCTTTTCAGGCAAGGAAAAGGTTTAATAACATTACTGACGCTCAAACACTTTTCTAATGCATCTTGTTGTGAAAAGGGAAAATTAATTTTAAGGGTGACCTTCTTTTTTAAATGTTAATATATTATTCTCCCCCCACACACACACACACCTTACCTAATGCACAAGGCATGCCTTACTTCAGCCAACTGAAGTAAAGGTTGAAAGCCTGAGCCATTTCAGACAAGCTGCAAAGACAAAGAGGAGCGAGCCTCTTGTCTTCCCTCTGCTCTCCTTTGGAGCCAGGATCTCAAAGCTCTTTTCTGAGGAGGACCAGAAATTCCTGGCTTTCACTCTAGCACCCACTGCATTACTGTTGCTGCTCTCAAGAGAATTAATTCATTTTCCACAGCTGTGCTGTCTTGTAACTTGTTCCTACAGGACAAACCACGCTTGTCCTTTCTCTAGCCCTGAGAGAGGGAGTGAATGTTACATCCTGCTGATAATCTCCAGAAGTGATCCATTTCTGTAAGTACATGCTAATATCACTAGCATATGCTTAAATAACAAAAATGGGCACAAAGCAGTGTGTGCTAGCTTACAGGAACCAAAGCTGTGTTTCGATGTGCAGCAGCGCTGACCTGAACAGCTTGCTTGTATACCAGCATGTGTAAGTGATGCAGAAAGGCTAGGGGGAAAGCCAGCAATAATTTAATTTAGTGGTAGTACTGGAAAATTAAATATTAAAAGGACCATTTTGAGGCAGAAGAGCTTTGCAGTTCACACCCTGAAAAGGAATTGAATTTCCACCACCAAATTTGCCTGTGGACACGAGCAGTCGTTCAGCTCCTTGCTGCCCCACTTGTTTATCTGAAAAGCCCTTGATGTACAGCATGTTGCAAACACACATTTCTTAATTCTGCAAAGTACCAGAGTGAGGAAAGCTGGACAGACAAGAGGAGCTGGATTGGAAATCAGGAACATTCAAAAAGCACTGAAATTTTTAAGGCAGAATATGGAGCTGTACCTGTGTTTCTTAGGAAATGATGTGTAAGAGGTTGCAAAGATTATTTGCTAACTATCCTGAAGTGATGGTACTTGCCTCCCACCTAGCTAATCCCTCCTTTCCTTTTAATTTTCCTGTCACCTCTTGCATTTTCCCAGTATAACGTGTTATTAGCTAGTCCAAATTTATTTGCATCCGATAAGAAATGAAGTCTGGCAATGCTGCACCTACCAGTTTTTAGATCTGCCTGGGTAGGGTGAGGTCTGCTGAGTATTTGGAAAAGCAACAGCTCTGAGGCAGCTCTAGATGCTGCATGAAGTGACTTTGGTAGTTCTGATGAGTAACTCCTTTCTGAGACATTTGTAATCATATTTGTACACACTGACCCTTTTATCCTTACGTATAAGTGCAATAGTTCAAAGATATATGGTTTGGTTTTGGTTATCCAGTTGGAAGATAAGGTACAGAGCAAGTAAGTAGACATTTTGTAAGGATAATCTTTGTGCCCATGACAAGAAAGCCTTTGCAATATGATCCCCATAAACTGTAGTGATTTGAAATCCTACTGTAGGTTCAGTATCACTGGTTATAATATTTGATTAAAGTCCAACAGTGCATTAATAATTACTTTTGACTGATGAAGAATGATTTACAGTTAGTTTAAAGAAAAAAAAAAAAAAAGTAATACAGGCATTAAGGAATGTGCCAGGTTCATTTACTTGACAAATGATTGTAAAGCTACTTACAAAACCGCTTCAGAACATAACAGCACCTGAACTGTAACATATTTTGTAGCAGCACTGAAGAAATTAAGTGGTTTAAGAATTATAACAACAATGCCAGGAGGTATAGCTAAGATCTAGCTCACTAGGGGTGCAAGGGCAGACTTCCATACCACTCTGAAGTTACGCAGGATCCTTCATGTGACAGACCCAGTAGTGACAGCGGTCTGAGGAACCAGCAGGTAGGGAAGATATAGGCACATGCCATACTTATGAGTTAGAGCATGGTTTACTGGTCTTTAGCCTGGGTTTTGCACAAGGGATTGTAATTCATTTGTGTTACAATAGTGGCCAAAATCCTTGACAATATTTAATGCTTTTTTGGAGGGGTGGAGAGGGCAAAACGTGATGCATTCCTTACCTTTAGGTGCTTAAAGTGAAAAGCCTTCATTCAGCAAAATGCTTAAGAGCTTTATTCTCTTTCTCCACAAGCTACAGTTAGAGAAAAAGAGAGCAGAGCAGCAGGGATGATGTGAGCTGGCACAGGTATACACTTAGTCATTGGTGAAGCTGAACAGAGAATATGAAAAACTCTTCTCAAGATCTCCCCAGTTTTCAGTGCATGCCTCAGCTAGTTAAGAAAAGCATAACTGCATGCATAGACAGTGAACAGGCCATTAGATATTTTATTTCTCAACGTTTTATTTAAGTATCTTCACTTCATTTTCTAATACCGTACAGTGATTTTCCCTCAATTAATGTTTTTCCTCAATAAATGTTTTTAAAACAAAATTAATTTGTCATAAAGATGAAGAGGTCATTTTTAATTCTCACAGCTTTTTGACAAAAAGCCTTTGCAATAGAAAAAGATTCTGAAGTTAACCAGGAAGTGAAGTGTTTGATGCCATAAGCATTAATCCTATGTTGACTATTGCTTTGCTACATTACATAGGAGTGAATTAAGGAATTAATTGATGGTTTGAAACTGGTGTGTTGGAAATGCCAAGCTTTTGTATTTTCCATTTTAATGTCAATAATACTGCAATAATTTTGACATCTAGTTTTTTAAAATACTACACTTTCTCAATTTGTTTATATTGGCAATGTTTGTCATTTCACATTTGTGTAGGAAACACCTACTGGTCGGTGATTTAAGACACTTGCTGACTGTTTTTAACTTGATAATTATATTGCGTTGTCAACAGCATTCAACAGGATCAACAGCAAAATGTGCAGTATTGCAAATATAAAGAAATTATTTTTAAAAGCTTAATTATTCAAATTTATTTCTGATATGTAAGATTTATATACGAAGTGTTCAGATATTCCATATTTATTACACATCTTAGATAGTTATTAATTGTTTGTGTTCTGTATATTTTGGCAGCCCTAAGCATTTTAGTTAAATTTCCAAACTTTGAAGAAAAGGTTTTGCTTGGCTGCTGGCCACAATGAAGTGGGAAGACAAAGCAATAATAAACCTTACCACCCAAAATATTGGATCATTTTTTGCTTCCATTAAGGACAATACAGCTTTATCACTGACTTCTTCAACACAGAGACTGATATAGGTAACCCCTATATCTGGGATTTCTTCCAGTATCTCTTCAGTGGATGGGAAAGACATGCAGATTATGAGACAAGCAGCATCAGTGGAGAGTATATGAAGACCAGCTTGTCTGAAAAATGCACAAAACATCTTCTCATAGAAACCACACAGGCAATCCCTTCACTGTTCTTGGTCTCATGAGCGAGGTACCCTGCAGACACAGGGTCTGAATCCCTGCTTCTCCTTGCAGACATTGAGGCTTGATGATGGTACTTGCTCTGACTCTAAAGAAGGTTGCACTTCCCTTTTCAGTCTTTGACTCTGCTGGGAGCTGTGCTTCCAGAGAGGAGTAGAAATTCTTTTGTTAAAGGAGCAGCACACAGCTAAGAATGTATCAAGAGACTGGTCAGGCAACTTCCTCTAAGGTATGTATATTTATTTATTTCCCTAATCTTTGCTTTATAATTCTTATTATTTATAGAGATAAAATGATGGAGGGCTTGAGCTACTCAAAGGCTCATTGTCAAAAGCAGAAGTGAATAGTAAACACTAGCATCCTTGTGGTTACAGCAGCTACCAAGTAACTGGGAGCCTTGGGCTCTGCAGCCTGGTATGGCTTGATGGCTCCATGATATCTTTCACATCTTCCATGTCTCAAAAGAGTACTTAACTAGCTGGGACAGAGCCTGGGGAAGGCAATGAGTACTTTTGTATTCTTTCAAGTTCAGGTACCTCAGGAGAAGGCTCAAGTTGATAATAAGTGAGCAGGATTCTTCTATCTGCAATTTGACCCAAATGTACTCCAAAAATTGGATGAGCTTGCAAGGTTTTTATAAGTTGGAGTGGAACTCCATAAGGAGCAAAGCAGACTTTAGTTTGTCTCTGGACTCTATCACACAGGAAAGCACTTAGACAAACGAAAGCATTAGATCATCAGAACAGGGTCAGATCAAGGACCCACTTAGCTCCAAATACACTCTTCAAATGTGCATGTTGAGTACATTAAATATTTGAAGAGCAGAGATGACTTCCTGCAGTTTATGAAGGTGAACAATAGGAAGCACAAGAAACAAGCACTAGTGTTCAACTGAAATCTTATCCTGTACCCCTCAGAGAAGCATACTTTCTGATTACTAATGGCAAAGAGCCAACTGCCTCTAACTGCTGTGGAGGCAATTCCCCAAGAGTTCATTTATTCATGGTGAAGAAATACAGGGTGTTTTCACATTTAAAGAAATATGACAAATGGTAGCTTCTGTTGGAGCTGCATCTTCAAGATTCATGAGACCTCATCAGCTAATATGCCCTCTGCAGAAAAACGATACGGCTTCTCCTTCCATAGTGCCCAGAGCTGGTCTTGCTACACAGTTTGTTCCACCATGACAAAGCTCACCGAGATCATCTATATTGATTCTCATGTCTCCACTGAGTGAGGTGTTTTCATGTATAAAATACATTGATACACATTTACTGTAAGGAAAACTGTGCTCTCTATTTCTTCTGCTGCCAGTAAAAGTCAATCCAGATTAAAAAAGGAAAAAAACAAAAAAAAAAACAAAAAAAAACAGTGGCTTTTAGCAAAATGTGTACTGACATTTCCCAGAGTACTCTTCTGAGTGAATTCTGGCTCAGGAGCCAGCTGAGTTAGAGGTGATGCATTTAGTTTAGGGGTGTTGCATTTGAGTTAGAGGTCATCTGTTTACATTAAAAGCCTGGAACAGATTTTGCTTGCAAGAATTTGTCCAAACCTCTTTTGATTTATGTGAACTTTCAGCATCTACAACATTATGCGGAAAGGAGGTTCACAGGTTAAATATGTGTGCATGTAAAAGTACTTTCTTCTGTTTAGTTTGAACCTATCACCTGCTCATTTCATTTACAGTTTCTCCTGTTGGAAAAGACAGAAAAATCAATCCCTCTCCTCTGTATCCTATCTCCTAGCCACTCAAGATTTTATAAAACCTTCTCTTGTTCTTCTAGATCTTCCAATACAAGTTGTCCATTTTCTCATATGGAATCTGTTTGATACTTTACATCCTTTTTGTTGCCATTTCCATTTTTTATTCTATCATTTCTGAGACAGATGAAGAGAATTGCAGAAGATGTGAAGACATCTTAATTTTATTGTGGCATGTTACCATTTTTCATTTTTTATTCTTTCATGACAATTCCTAACTTTCTGTCTGCTTTAACAGCTGCTCAACACTGAGAAGATATTTTCCTACAAGTAACTGTGTTTATGGCATGGTTTCAAACAAAAATGGTAATAGTCAACTTGGGGTCCATCACTGAAATTGTTTCTTCCCCTGCACATCACCTTATAGTAATCTCTACTGGATTTTATCATCTATTTTATTACCCATCACACTTTTTATATCCCTTTGCAGCTCTTCACGGTGGTCCTCATCTTTAATTTACTCAGTGACTACCTTTAGTACCCCTGCAAACATTCTGTGGTACCTAATTTGTTCCTGAAGACCCTTCTTGGACTTAGCTTATTTTGCAAGAGTTCGAAAGAAAAATGTTCTGGCAGTGTTCAAAAAAACCCTCTTCCTCCCCCTTTCTTCCTCTTCCACACTAGACTCTACTACTTTTAGAAATGGAAGACAGAGAGGGTTGCTTAGGTACCAGGGGTAACCTTTCCCATTTCTTCCCTAGGTAATCGGATCTCTTCTCCAGTCAGAGAGACCTAACACATCAGTCTTCATATATCATCTTCATGAGCTAAATTGCCAGAGAAGTTTATGATCTAACTTCAGAAAAATTCTCTGTGAAAACAAATCATTTATTTTTCCAGATGCCTGGACTGGAGAATGCAACATGCGACATTCAAGGTAGATAAGCAGACAGCTAAAGGCAAAAGTAATATAGTAAAACTTGTTCTTGGTGTATTAAGTGGGAATTTGGCTATTTTTTACTGAATGACACCCTCTCACAACCAGGCACCATGCTGCTGGAGTGCTCTTTCCCATCAGGCACTCAGGTTGCCTGGCTCCCTGCTTACCCTCTGCAAAAACCACCCAGGCCTTTCCCTTGTGGCATAGATTTAATGTTGGCTGTATACAGAGAAGCTAATTCCTCGCACCTCTTCATCTATTATCCACAGAGTCCTGCAACCTCTAACCCAAAACAATATGACTAAGATTTACACTACCAGCAGGCCTCTTTCTTCTGGGGGAGAGGAGCCAAGAGGGAATTTCCTACCTCTTCGTCTCAAGCAGGTATGTGTTCTCCTCATCAGCCTTTGCTAATCCTGTCCATATCCTCAGGCACAGATTCCCAGACTCAGTTTTCTCTGGCTCCCTTGCACCAGGCTCTGCTGCATTCAGTGCTTGATCCAGTATCTCATTTCACTAGCCACAGTTTTATTTGGCAAACCTGTAAAGGGTCTTAATTTGCTGATGTAATTTGTCTATATAATCACTGTACTTTTTTTTCCTAACATAGACATCTCTGCCAGAGAGCTATTTCTATAGCTATTAACAGAATTACAATTAGTTAGTCCATTAAAATTAAAATTGTTGAAATGTTATAAATGGCATTCTACTTCTGCCCTTAATTATGAAAATATTTTAATATAATTCCAAATCCTACGTTATTGTGAGAAGGAGTTTGATACAGTTTGAATATGAAGATGTTCCAAATTCAGATCAAAACCAATGCTGTTTTCATTTGAAACCTGAACTTAACAGTTCTATTTTTGACAGACAAGTAAAGGATTAGTTACTTTGTAAAACACATAGATGGTTAAAACAGCTCATGAAAATCCCTGAACATACATATTTTGTGTCTTGTTTTCATCTATGGAGTATCTGTTGCTATAACATGAAGATCTGACAGGTTATTTGTGAACAAGTCAAACCTTACCTTGTAATGGTGAAATGGCAAGAAGAAATATTCTGCCTTGGTACAGGCTAAGGCAGAATATTTTGCAGATTTCTTTATTTTGTCCTTCTACTATTTGTTTCTGTAAGAACAGGTCAAACATGAATGACACGTGGTTTTTTTACATTCTGCAAAATCACAAGAGGACTGGACAAGTCTATAAAACAAAGATTGCCATTTAATTTTCATTTTGTTAGCAGCTGGATGTTAGGACATTTCTGAGGTTTACATAAAGCTTTCACAGTTCACAGTGTAACATCTGCAAAAGTTACAATATCATATGCGGTCTTTCTTTTGTTTTTCTTTTGTGCATAGGATTATCTTGTACTGGAATTCCAGAACAGTGTGAAACAGAAGGAAGCAAAAGAAATACAAAACTAACATGGGAAATATTGGGAGAAAAAAGTGGAAAGAAAGAAATCCTGCCATTTCTGCTGATCTACTTGAGCTTTCAAATAGTTTTTCTTTTTGAGCTCTCAAATATGAAAGTTCAAAATTCAATGCATTCGCAACAAATTTGGATACATGGCTTGATAAGGAGTATGGCAGCACAGAACACTGACATTTCACTTTTCTCTGTAATTGATACAGTGGAGAATGGAATTTGTGTAAACAAACACTTCTTAAGTACTGGGATTTTTCTCCTCTTTATCATCTCCTTTTTACTAAGAAAAGAAAGGGAAGGCCAATGTAATGGGAAATCAGAATGAAAGTGTTTTAGGTAAATTTATACACACAGATTTAGTCTCAAGATTCAAAATATGTAGCAAGGATTGTAAAAGATAGATCAATGTGGATCCAGTCTTCTCATAAAAGTCATGGAGAGATTCTACTTTAAAGGTCCCTTTACCCATTCAAGCTAATCTTTCTAAGCTCCCCTTGCAGATTCAGAGCCCCAAAGCCTATTGCTCTGCATTGACCCTTAGGAGCCTTAGTAAATACCTCTTTCCTTTGTGACATATGTCCCACTAGCCATCCTCATCAATAAAGGTTCCTTTGATAGCTCCTAGAGAGAAAAGGTGGGCACCCCTCTCACCATAAAGCAGATAGAGTAGACAAAGTTACAGAATATTGTGATTGTAATTTGAGTCACTTTTTTTTTTCCTTCCACTGCTAAATACCTTTTCTGAAGAAAATCCAGAGAAAGTTGATCAATTTGATGAAAGATACAGCAAGTTTGTGTTGGAGGTGTTAACAATCTTGATGTAGGTTATGTCTATCTCTCTCTCAAAATAAATAAATAAATAAATAAATAATTAATTAATTAAATGGAATACCTGGAAATATACCGATGAAAAGGCTCTGTACTTGCTTGTACTGTGGCCCTGTGTTAGCTGGAAGACATAGATAAAAATGATGTGTATTAGGTTTAAGTTTTAGTTTGTAAGGAAACAATTGACTGGGAACAATGACTGGAATGATAAATACCAGTGAGAAGTCTTATGCTGGTAGTGCATTTGCCTACACTGATTTTGATACACTAAGCACATTAAAGTTGTAAGAAAGCAGTCATCAAAATAGGAAGAGATATCTGTCATTAGTTTTTAAAGGCCACTGCATGCAATTTATTTTAAGAACCTCATTTTGATGGCATTGGATTGGTTATTTTAATGTTTTCATGTGAACTGTAGTTTATGACGAACTGTAGCTCTATAAATAATATAGCCTCTTATTCTTTGATGCTTAAACCACTATGATTTCAATCCATGGGCAATTTCATTTCTAAAGAATGCACTGGAAAACTGACAGCTACGATAACAACACACTAATGAGAGAAATAGCTCAATTGAGAATTTTTCCTTGGCACGTGTTTTGATGACTTTATATAATATGGAGCTTATGTTGATAAAATGTAAAAGCAGATCTCTGCTATTAGTTCTTTCTTGTTCATTGGGTATGAACCATACTGTGTAAAAATTCATGAGGCTCCATACTTTTTCCCTTAGTTGTTATGCCTGGTGCTGCAATGGGGCAACTGATAGTGGGTTTGTTCAGCTGTTTTCCAGTATGTTCAGAGAACATCAAATATTTTTTGGGGGGGAATTAAAGACTTGCATTGATTCTTGCAGCTATTTCTGTGAGCTTGTGAAGGCCAAAACAGACAGAAATGCACAACATGGGTTATAGGGCTGTCAACAATTAGTTGAAAATAAGAGGCTTCTTTCTGTAAAGGCAGCCCTATATTCACTCTTTCCCCTTTTTCTTCATGTGTCCAACCATATGATTGCAGCAGTGAAGTTTCCCCAGAAGTCATCCTGAACAGGGCTTCCTGTAGCTACTTGTGTATCTCCATGAGAAGTGACCATCTGTAGGTGGCCTGTCAGATAGGATTTTGCCTTTAAATAAAGAGCTGAATCTCTACTGATCAGCAGCATCTGAAACACACACACTTTTTGTCATGTACAATACAAGATCCATCAAGTAAAGCACCTGGGAAGGACGAAGAGGAGCCTTTGGTCATGCAGGCTGAAAGCCTGATATGCTTCATTGGAGGTTCCAGCCCTGCAAGGTGCATGAGAACAATTTTTATATAAATTATTGTGCTGTTTAAAGACTTTAAATTGATTTTACCACTTCAGTTAATATCTGTAACTTAGACCTAAAATCAACGTGGGTAGCTATTTCACTGCACTGTGCAAGATATTTTAGCTGGGAATGAAAGATGAAGGAGAAGGTTTAGATTAAACCAACATCATTTTCTTTGATCTTCTCATAAAGGTTAATAAGGAATAATTATTTGTTCCTTTAACTTTCATGGTTTGATTGCCTCCTTTCTGAATCTGGTCATCTTTAAAAAGCTTGGCTTTCAATAGCCCTGTGAAAAATCTGGATGAGTGGTCTACTGCCCTAGGGGAGTTTCCCTATGCAGAAGATGGTGTGACCTCCACTCAAAGAGTTTGCATATATAATTGCATTTGTGATAGGCTCTGCTTGTACATATAATTTGAAAATAATTAGAGGGTTGTGAATTTTCTCTGAAAATTTGACCCACTACATTTTCTTCTCTAGTTTCAGATCACTCATGTGGAATATGCAGTGCACTTTCGTGTCACAGGACACTCAAGTTCATCAAACGAATTAGTTAAATTAAGCATTTAGCAATATTACAGACAGGATATGCCTGAATTATTTGGTCTTTGAAAATGCACTCATACGTATCATGTACAAAGCTCTATTTATGTGTATACTTATGCCAGAATGTGGACAATGATTATCATGTTCTAGGCCTGTGTAATCACACAGCTTGGGAATTTTGAATAACTTGCTGCTTGATCTCCAATGGGTATTAAGCTTATGATGTTTACAGAAGGTAGGTGCTCCCTTTCTAAATGTTGCTAGCTGCTGCATCCCCACTCAAATTTTCAGCAGGTTCCAGGTGGCGAAGAACATACATTAGTCCTCAGCCAAATGTCTCCAAGTGTGGAAAAATTTGGCATCTGGCAGTCTCTGATCATGTGCTATATCCAAGTCAAGCTAACCAGCCTGGGCCTTTGTTTTTTAACTCCTGTGATTTGACAGATCTGGCAGCAAAAGTGCAGAAGAGTTGATTGAGACCCAGAAATCTGTAGCTTTGCTTAGCTGCTGCGAAGGTTGTACAGCCCTAGACAGGCTAGAGTAAAAGTCTACAGACTGGAAGGCTCTCCCAGGGTGGAGAAAAAGGGAAATAGACTTGAAGGGGGAATTACAAATGAGCTGAGAGAGGAGCTCACTGACTTGGGAACCTCACTCTCTGGGGGAGTTTTACAATGTCATGGAAGACTCCGTTTTGCTTATTCTGTTAGAAACTGGGAAGCCTTTCTCCTGGCTGGGTGATTATTTAACTTGCAAGGCAAAAGCCATTTTCTTCTGGCGTGAGTCAGTAAATTAGTCATATAGATATCAACATGTATCTGCCAATGTAAATCAAAGAAATAGGCATTTCCATATGCTTTTTGGCATTCTATAGTTCTTTCTCTAATCTATGTGACTGCAGGCTTCCTACTGCTACTCAGCAGTAACTATCAAAGGGCAAGGAAGTACAAAGCTGATACACAGTAAATTAATTATATTTTTTAAAGTTCATATTATAGATAATTGAAATACAGAACAATGTCATCAAAGGCAGTGCTGAACATGGAAAAATGAACACATGCCTTCTGGAACAGCAATGGTATCTTTTGTGTTCTTAGATAACATTTCTGAAGTAACAAAATAGGTTTAAACAGGAACTGTTTCTAGACTGTAGCTTGAGTGCCAATTTTCAACAAAAGATGCATTTTCCATGCAGTTCCTGAATTACTAAAATTGAGATTTTCATGTAGAAATGCACAGCTGTTGCTGCAGCAGTGTGGTGTCAGTAATTATGATTAAAACAGAAGAGGTACCAGCACAAGCAGAATAACTACATATATTTAAATCTTTCCCAAAACCAATATCGTGGCAACTGAAACAATGTATGTATGTATCTATATTTCATCACCTGCTGCAAAAAATTATTTATTTGTGTTATTATTGCTTATAGAATCTCCATCCCAAACCAGGACTCTACAGTCATCTGCTGGTACATATCTTTCATGGGATATGGGCAAAATGGACACTATGGATATAGTGATAATGGTCACTGTGCTTGGTTCCAGCCCATCAATAGCCTAAGTGCGATAAATATTCTCTAGGTGTCACTGAAAGGTGTCACTTCCTCCTTTGAGGAAGGATTCGAAGGGGCATATAAATTAAAAGATAAACTCTTTTCAAAGTGAGAGATGAGAGCCAACACCAAAACCAAGTGAACATTGCTCAAACATACAATGAGTAAAAGATACCAGATGATATTACAAGCAGAGAGATGAGTCAGCACTATAACAATGATCAGCATCTTCGTGAAAGTGAAATGGGGGCATGCTACAGATGAAGACAAAAAGCTTACACTTGCTGTGATAGAGAAGGATTATCCAGTGAGTAGTCCCACAACTTCTGGTAATAATCTGAACATGTATAAGTGTTGGCCTCTGCTGAAAACGAGGTGTGATCCGTACAAACACAAGAGGCAGACAAACCCCGTCTCAAGGAGTTTTGGCTATACATACTGTTAATGAGGATTTGGTAACTGAGTCATGTGCAGTTGTTAGTTTAAAAATCTTGGCCGAGCAGAGGTATGTGGATGAGTGATAATTCTTAAGATGAGTATCAGTTTTCCATTACAAGTTGGGGCTATAATTTTCCATTTATTTTAACTTGCATGAAATTCATTCTAAAGTCAATCTTCTTGCATCTGTTTTGCTTTAATACGGATAAAGTATGCAAGTAGACTAGGAGCTACAGAGATAATCAGAAGCAAAAACTTGTAATGGGTAGAGGAAGAGAATCTATGTGGTTATTAAATTTCCACCAAAATTTTCATATTTCTCTCTTGAGACCAGATAAAAAGGCCCATGAAATGAAAAAAGCCCTCGCACTATCTTGCTTGGGCTTTGGGTTTGTCTCTCATACCTTATCAGTTGCACCACCAAGTAGACCAAATAAATCAATGGGGATGAATATTACATTGGTATGAAATAATCCATAGGGTTATGGAAGTTGCCACCAAGGATGGATTCTGTAGTACAGTTAATTCACAAAGTCATTCAAAACAAAAAGTGTGGGTGTTCTGGGATAATAAGGATTCCAATAAACCACTATTGATTTGGTATGGTACAAATAACACCTCTGAAAACACTGATCTGATGGAAGCACCTTCCAGCTGTCATTAGCGTTCCACACTCCCCTGCTTGCATTGCATGTTTCATTGCAAGCATTATAGCTTGACAACCTGCTAGGGAGTTTTGAAACAGGAACGAACAAAAGCAGAACATTCTCTCAAAAAAATTCAGCTCATGCCATGGTTAACTCAGCTCTTGTTTTTCCAACTACCCTCCAGACGTACCCCAGATTTACAGTTTTCACAAGCAGCTTCTAAACAAGACAAAATTTGTATGTTTTATACTTTTTTTTTTTGTCAGGGCAATTAACATATATTGTTAGTTCGTTGCCTGTTACATGTGGAAAAAATACATGCTGTAGCTTGCCCCCTTCTGTCTTGTCTTTGTCACTTTGCTACTCCTCTGAGAAAGGCACCGGTCAGTCTCTTTGTGGCTGCATAAGGATGCACCTTGCCTGAAGCTGGGAGTGTAACAAGTGACAGTGAAAGAGGATGGGTTGCAGGACAGTCTTAGGAGGACTTGTTTTGACTAAGAAAAAGGTCAAATTCAGGTCAGCCTTTAAAAAAAACAAAAAAAAATAAGCAGTCCCTCAATATCTATTCATGTTTATTATGGGTTGCCTTTGAAGACACTTCGGCCTGTAACATCTTGGGAATGACACTGGACCTTTGGAAATCCTTAGAGCAATAGCATGGCCAGAATGACAGGCAGGAGATGTGATTCTCTGTAAATAGTCCTGCAGAAGGCAACACAGAGAAAGTGCAAAGGGGTCTCTGATCAGGGCAAAGCATTTCTGCCTTCCCTTTCCTTGTTGAACCATTCACTAAGTTGTTAGCATGTGGAAATGATTCCAGCAGCAAGTTGAAAACCTACAGATGGCTTTGCAACTATTAGAAATATGCAGAGATTTTAGAGCCATGAAGGACAGTAATAAGTGTTTACTTCAGTCTCCTGCATAGTATCACCCACAGAAAAGATTCCCTATTGCATTGCTGCAGCTGTACTTCCCCTCAGTTACTAGCATGACTGAGTCTTGTCCAACTCAGTGGAGGTGAGTGAGAATATACGGACAGGAGAGAACTATGTGGGATGCAAAACAGAAGATGGAAGTGTTAAAAATATGTCCTGGTTGTTGTTTGGCCCTAGATTCTCCTGCCAACTTCAGAGACCCAAAGACAATGTCCGCTTAACACGCTCTGGATGGCAATGAGGCATCCTTGGCAAACCTGAGTCTGTGTTCACCATGGGTTTTGGCAATAAAACCAGTGTTGTTTTCCTAGTTTGCAGATAGTAATTACAGCTCTGAGAGGTATAAAATGCCTGTGTTCATTTCAGTGGAATATTAAGCTTGAAGTCTAAAATGAAACCTTATAAATTTCAACATTACTAGCTATTAAACTGTTAATAATTTTAACAGAAACATGCGGCTATTTTAGGGTTGTGAATGGAATTTGAAAACAGTATCACCAGGTTTTCTTTGACTCTTATCTTTGACTCCTACTTCATACTGCAGTTTACTAAGAATAAACAGACAGAATTGCCTTTTGATGCAATACTATTCTGGAATGTGGTTAAGTAAATGGCTCTTTTAGGGTATGGTTTTTCTCTCAGGTTTGTATTCAGTCTATAAATCATGCAATGATAGTTGAGAAATTAATCTTTTACTCTCCAAGGCATCTTTGAGATGGCAGTAAATGGTTTATGGTCACCTTCAGTTAACACTGGCCTCACATATGTAAAGACAATATTCTTTAGTACCCATAGATCAAGGCCAACATCTCAATTTGTATATAGAGAGAGAGAGTTTTTTTTTTTTTTTTTTTTTTTTTTCCTGGAGTTCTTGAAGATGTAATTTCTGTAACTTCTTTTCCTACTTTGACCATACTTCCAGAGGAAGAGTGCTTCAATATCCTGTTTGTAAGTAGCATGGACACTCGGTTTTATGCTGAATGTCACTTTTTCTCAGGTTGCTGTTGATTCTTCTGATTTCTCAGACTTTTTAAGATGTGCATTTCACTCCTGCTGACCCTCTGCTAATTTGAATAGTGAGATTAGGCACAATGTCCCTAGCTAATTCCTCTTTCCCTGGAATCCCTTTCTCCTCTGTTGGGTCAATCACACTGATGGTAGCTAAAAATCTTATTTTATCTAACATGTCAACATCACTTTATTAATTTTCCTCTGTGGTATGTTGTTTCCATTATAGCAATCTAAAGGCTTGCAGAGGGAATGAGTATTTGGCTTTATCCAGGCAAAGTCAGTTCTTTTTCCAAAGCTTCTTTGAGTCTCTGGTCATGTACTTTTCTCCTCACCTCAAAACGTCTTTGATGCATATCATCGTACTCTGTATACAATCTACAGTTCACTGTACTTTCCAGTAAAACTGGTGTTCTGAATACAGCAGGAATGTCAGTTAGAGGAAACCATTTGCTTTGAAGTAGTAAACTCACAAAAATGGTGGGATTTTTGCTGGTGGTGGTTCCCCCTCCCCCTCCCAGCCCAACTGTACCTGGCTGCAACTTGCCAACACATTATGAGTATAAAAATATTTGCCATCTGACACATCTCCAGAAATACCTCTCCTTGTGGAACTTTTCCATAAGGAAAATGTATATATGTATATTGACAAGTGTTCATATATTTATATATGTATATAATCTTCATGATGCTACATATTGGGTAAGACCTTTAGGTTCTGTTCTTCTAGCAATGATGAGTGAGCAACTAACTGTGGTCTTCTATTAAACATATGAATCTCAGAGCAACGAGCCTGACCAGCTTCCTTTTTAGCTGCTGTTCCTAAGGGGAGTAAAAACTAGGAAAGGCAGGACTTAGCTTGTGGTTGGGCTTTTAGCTCACTTCCATTTTGTGCATTTAGAAGAGCCTCTCTCCTATGGGTCATATGATTATACAATTCCACATTTGTTTTTGCTCACTGCCTCTCTGAAGCAAGCATTCTCTATGTTACAAGTTTGTCACAGTTTTAATTCAGAAATGGGATTTTTCTTTTTGTACTACTACAAAGTGGTAGGTTTGTTTGTCTTTCTTTCTTTTTTTTCCCCCTGGTCTATTATTTAAACATAAATCTAGTTCATAGACTCACATTGTGAAAATCAGATTACAAACAGATGCCCCAAGTTTCACATCCCACCTTTCATTTTCATCTTTAAGTTCCTGCATTGATGACATCGCATCCATTGCTCTTATCCTTGTTTCTGGCACCATACTCTCTTGTATACCTATAACCAATTTAAAAGTAAGAACTATCTTGCCAGCTTGCACTGTGATAGTCCATTGGTCTATGCAGAATCCTCCCCAGCTAGCAATACCGTTGTTGTCTTCTTTCTCCTTTCTGTGCACACTCTTTAAAAATGATGCAGTTTATTGTGGTTCTTGTGTATTTTTCAGGTCTTCAATGCCAGGGTCTCTAACAGAGATCTGTTTCATTCCGTGTCTTAGTCTAACCGGTCAGTATTGTGTCACAGGAACCTCTGAGCAGCACAATAACCAACCCCAACTGGTCCACATAACAAAAGGGCTTCTGTGGCAACAAGCTCCCACAGAAGAGACACTGCCATGGAGACCATTCTTGATCGTGTAAGAAAGATCTATTGTATTTCACATCCCTTTGTTCGGAAAGCAGTAGGAATTATCTCACAACCATTCATCATGAGCCAATGAGTTATCCCAAGTGTAGGGTTGGGGGACTGGAAAAGTGTTAAAGCTCATAGAAAAATTGTTTTCTTGGGTCAAGAAAAGTAGAAAGGAACTGAAACATGCTATCAGCTGAACTGGAAGAGTACCCAGATGAAGTTTGAGAACTGAAGTGTGAAAAAAAGGGATTTACCTGCACTATCCAAGTAATCACTTGCTTTGGAATAACGTATACTCATCAGTACCGGAGGGACTGAAAAAAAGAAAGGAACAGAGAGTAAAGCTGACTTCTTCCCTACTCATCGAATATGGCTAGGGACTATGCATTGAACTTTCAATTTGGCTATAGGCATTTGCATTCTTTTTGACCTCCATGAACCACCCTCCCCCGCCCTTTTTTTTTTTTCTCCTGGGTTGCACTTGCCTGTTTTCTTTTCTCACTGTTCATATGTGAAAGAGTATTATGTGGGTATGTATTTCTGCTGAGGCATAATACACTACATGGAATACAATTCTGAGATAGTGGACAAGGCATTTTCTTGTTATGATCAAAATTATTCGCATGTGTGCAAGACCCGCATGAGAGCAGAATGTTAGTCCAGTGTCATAAGGCCAGACTGCATTCCAGGAGTGGCTGCCCAGCCGGTACGTCCACGCCCTGTGTATGCTGCCCAAATGGAAAGTTGAAGCTCCTATCTCAGATTTCTACATGCAAAAAATTCCAGGAAAATCTTATTTGGAAACACTTTGTAGCTCATTTGGAGGATTATCTACTTTAAGCTAAGAATATTACAGTTCTGTAAATGCAGTCAAATGCAAGGTACAAACCTGGTGGTAAAAACTTGTTTTATTTTCTTCATAGATATACAGGGATGAATTTTGATAGAAGTCAGTAGAATCTTGTTGTTAATGCTCATTTTCTTTTCATTTTCACTTTTTATTTTTTCTTTTTTAGGTGTCAGTCTTTCAATGCTCAGTTTCAGCCGAATGTCTCTCAGTTGGTATATGATGTCAAACTTATTTTTGGAACATGTATAAATACCATAAGGGCTCACCAATCTTCTAATGAGATAAAATTACTTCTGAAGGATAAAATTAGCATGCTGGAACTTTTCCAACAACTATATTTTTACAGCCCTACCATATATATTATACAGTATGCTTCTAAAGAACCATTACTTGAAATATATATTCTTTGCTTCAAACTAGTTATTTTGAGGTAATTTTTAATATGAGAATTAATCCCCCCCCCCAAAGAAATCTCTACATTTGAACTAAAAATTATCCAAAATCTCAATATTTCAGGAAAGAAAATATTAGTAATAAAAATGAATTCAAGAACAAGGTTAAAAAACAAACAAACAACAAAAATATATATATGTTATGTTCATTAACATAGTCTGTTTTTTCCAAAATAACTTTTACAGACTTTTCATTTATCTTGAGAGCTTTCAGTGGGTGTCAGATATGAGATAGGAATGTCCTGATATGAGATAGGAGTGTGAATGCAAGAGTCAAATCAATTATTATTAGCTGTTTCTTCCAGTTTTTACTGGAAAGCACAAAATAACCTACAGCAAATTCAGAAAGCAAAAGAGAGTGGAGTGATACAGCAGAAACATACTGGTCCCATTACCCTGAGTTCACTAAACAGAAACAAACATTTGATAGCCAAATCTTCTGAAAAATAGGAAATGTAGTACTAAGCAGCCAATTCTTGTAGAGATGACAAGTACCAATAACAACCTGCTGTGCCCTGCACTATTCAGCATATTCGTACATGATCTGGAAGGGATGAGTAGTTGGGCCACAAAGCCTGGTGGGGTTACCAAGTTGTTGAGGTTAATAAAGACAATGAGCTGATCTTGAAGATCTGCAGAAAAAGTTGGTGAAGGGGAATGACTGAGAAATAAGAAGGCAGATGTATTTTAATGTAGATAAATGCAAAATGGCCCACATGGGGAAAAATGATCCTTACTTCACATATGATTGCTGCTTCTCAGGAGAGAAAGTTCTGGAGTTTTGGAAATGGTTCTGTAGGAGCACCAGTTTAGTGATAAACATCTGTCAAAATAAATAAATAAATAAATTGCTACAAAGGTTCAGGAAATCAATAGAGAACAAAACAGAGAACATCACAGTACTGCCACAGAAATCGTATTTTGCTCGCATCTTGAGGTAAAGAATCATAGAACTAACTATTGGTTGAGAGGGACCTCTACAGGCCATGCAGGCCAGCCTTCCACCCGAAGCAGTGCTATTGCCTAGACAGTCAGATCAGGTCAGCTGTGGCTTTGTCTAGCTGACTGTTGGAAACTGCCATGGACAGAAACCATGTACCAATCTGAGTGGTACAGTTGGTACAACAGAAGGGAGAGGTCTTTTAAAGGGACCTGGACAGGCTGGAGAAACGGGACCATGTGAACTGCATGAAGTTCAACAAGACCGAGTGCAAGGTACTGCACCTGAGTTGGGGCAATCCCAGACGTGAGGACAGACTGGGAGAAGATCTCATTGAGAGCAGCCCTGTGGAGAGAGACTGCATCAAGAGATGGCCTGCATCAAGAGATGTGACCAGCAGGTCAAAGGAGGTGACTGTCCCCCTCTGCTCTGCCCTCATGAGGCCCCATTCTGAGTGCTGCATTGAAGTCTGGGGCCCCCAGCATAAGAAAAATATGGATCTGCTAGAGTCCAGAGGTGGGCTACAAAGATGATCAGAAGGCTGGAGCACCTCTCCTATGAAGAAAGGATGAGAGAGCTGGGGATATTGAGCCTGGAGAAGACTCCAGGCAGATCTCAGTGGGTTTATGTGGCATGGCTTAGGTACTGGGGGACCAAAGGGGTGGCTTCTGTGAGAAGAATCCAGTAGCTGCCCCATGTTAGACCAGGGGCCCACTGCTGCCCAGAGCTGAGCCAATAAGCAATGTTTGCACCTCTGTGGGGGCATATTTAAGAAAGGAAGGAAAAAAATGCTGAAATAGCAGCTGGGAGAGAGAGAGCAGTGAGAAACAGCCCTGCAGACACCAAGGTCAGTGCAGAAGGAGTTGGAGGAGTTACTCCAGGTGCTGGAGCAGCAGTTCCCCTGCAGTCTGTGGAGAGGCCCCTAGGTGGAGCAGGCTGTCCCCCTGCAGCCCATGGGTCCCACATGGAGCAGATCTCCACGCTGCAGCCCCCCCATGGGTGGAGGAGCCCCCGGGGGAGCAGGTGGATGTGGCCTGGAGGAGGCTGCGGCCCATGGAGAGCCCCCACAGGAGCAGGCCCCGGGCCGGAGCTGTAGCCCGTGGAGAGGAGCCCACGCAGGAGCAGGGGATCTGGGGGGAGCTGCCCCCACCCGTGGGGGACCCCGTGCTGGAGCAGTTTGCTCCTGGGGGATGGACCCCGTGGGATGGAGCTGTGTGGGAGCAGTGCTTGAGGAGCTGCTGCCTGTGGGCAGCCCCTGCAGGCTCAGTTTGGAAAGGATGGCATCCCATGGAAGGAACCCCAATAAATTATATGAATTTCCCAATGCTGAGTTTGTTTTGCCCATGATGATAACTGTTGAGTGATCTCCCTGTCCTTATCTCAACCCTTGAGTCCTTTCCATTGTATTTTCTCCCCCTTTCCCTTTGAGGAGGGGAAGTGAGAGAGCAGTTGTAGTGGACAACACTTGGTTGACCTGTGAAACTTGCCACCACAGGCAGCTGTGAATGCTAAAGGCCTACCTAGGTTTAAGGGAAGATGGCCAAGTGCCTGATAAAGAATCCCAGCAAAGGTTATTAAGTGAGTAGAAACTACATCTGCCACAGGAAACCTCTGAGTTTAAAATAATGGTGGTAGGGAAAGTAGTCCAAAGGGACTACTTGATATAGGGCTTGATCTTGCCCTATACTAATTCTCTTTCAGAGCCTTTTGGTCTAGAAAAGCCTTTGGCCTGACCCAGTGTGAAAGTGATTATGTTCAAGAAATTGCTTGTAAAACATAACTACCTGGTAACATTAATTTCTATCTTCCCTTGTCAGCTAAACTGGGAACCCTTCAGCTCATTTTCTCAGGTACATAAATAATTAGTATTACACTTTTAAGTTGTACGCACAAGCAGCAACAAAAGCAGACCTGCAAGAAAATTAACATTTTGAAGAAATCAACTCAAATATTTGAAATGAAACATTAGGCTGCAGTTCCTGGCCAATGCCTTGTTTCCAACCTACTTATACAATTAGTTCCACTAAATTTCAAAAGTTAAGTCTTTGAAAGGAAAGATATTCTTATGATTACGACAACAAAATAGCACTCTGGAGATCTCAACTTGATCTCTAGCAATGCCACAAATTTCCTGCCGGTTTTGGCAAATCAAGAGGGCCATCGTCTAGCACGAGCTGATTTCAGCAGAAGAACTCACTGAATTGACTCTGGTTAAGAGTCTGGTTGACTCTTGCAAAAGTCTTTAATGAGTGAATTTTTTCGTGTGGTGCACCTGCACAGCACAGGAAGAACTGTGTTGTAGGGCAGGGGGCTGTGGGACACCAGCTGGGACTCCTGGTTCCTCCAGGGGGGCTGCAATGGTACAGGACCCACGGACCCCCAGCCAAAGGTCTCTGCCTTGGCAAGGGTGAAGAAAAGGCACCAAAGCTCAGCTCTAGTGCTGGGTTTTCTGCCTGTCTACAACCAGACGTGCTCCGGGAGCCTGGGCAGGGGAAGACAGAAGCATTAGACGGAGTGGGAGGAAGAGAGGGGAGAAGAAGAGGGAGGTGCTGGGAGGGCTGGGGCCCTGATGAGCGGGGCTGCGGCTCCTGAGGAGCGGACCCAGCATGGCCCGGGCGGGGAAGGCGCTGCGAGACCCCGAGGGAAGGGCGGGGAGACCCGGCCCGGCCCCAGCCGGGATCACCCCGTCTCTCCGCGGCGCTGCGCCTCCCCGCCCCGTGCCTTCATCCCACCCCATCCCACCCGAGGGGATCTCCTCTCAGCCCTCCCCTTCTCTCCCTGCCGCGTCCTCCCTTGCTTTTTTTTTTTTTTTTTCCCTTTTTCCATCCCCTCCCCCGCCCGGGAAGACCCGGCAGCTCCCCCCCGCCCCGTCCTCAGTAGCCGCGGGTGCTCGGCGGCGGCGGGTGCCGGGGCCGGGGTCGGCGGGGCAGGACAGGGCAGGACAGGACAGGACAGGGCAGGGGGTCTCTCACAGCCTGGAGGTGGCCGCTTCCCCTCCCCTGGGCTCCATCGGAGCCAGGTACAGCCCGGGGGGAGGCTGCCCGCACCTGGCCGGGGCGGCAGCCGCCGGGGAGCGGGGCAGGAGGAGGGCTGGGGGTGGCCGCGGCCTTGCCACCGGGCAAAATTTGGGGGAGCTGAGGGGTGTCGGTGCCTGGGGCTTGTGCAGGATTTGGTGTAAAGCCCCTGCCGCGTTAGCCTGAGGGATGCAGTTTTGATAGGACTGAAAAGCGACACGTTGCTCTGACCCTCTCCCCCCCCCCCTTTTTTTTTTTCTTTTCTTTTTGAAACACGGGCGACTAGCAGGACAGACGAGAGGGGCACATTTATTCCCCTTTCAGGAGGTTTTGCCTCTGTACAGCTTCGGCTGTAGGCACGGAGGGAGCCTCTTCGCATTTCAAAACAACCTCTCCTTTAATTCTGATTCACCCCCGCAGTATTTGTGCTACCATTCCTGCTCTCTTTTTTGGAATTGACACTAATTTTATCCAGATTCGTCACCGCTGGGAGCAGATTTATCTCGGAATCGCAAGAGAGCTGTGCCAAGGTATTTAACTTTCAGGCTCGGGAGAGAGGGAACTCCTTTGGATCAGCCACAGCAAGGCAGAGCCTCCCGCGGTCACGCCTGAAAGCAGGACCAGAGGATGGCTAAGGAGCTTTAGCGACTGGGAGCCTTCCCCTCCAGATCCTCGGCTTCTCCCAGGAAAACACCGGACTTCCAAGCGCTTGATGCACACAAACGGTGAGCAGAAGCGGAGCGGGCGATGAAAAAGCAAAGACCCAGCGACCTCCTTTTTTTTTTTTTTTTTTCTTTTTTGCCCCCTCAATCTCTGTTTCTCTGCTGATGTCCCCCCAGGGCATCAGGCTCGGGCAGAGCAGCCGGGGACGGGGACCCAGGGCAAGTTCAGACCCGGCAGCCGCTCAGCTTGTCCCGGACCGCAGCGGGATGGGGCTGTGGGGTTGGGGATTTTCCCTCTTCGGCCCCCTCCCCAAACCTGGCAGGGGAAGAGGGCGCAGCCCCGGGCAGAGAGGAGCGGGGACTGCCTGGTGGCGAGCCCAATGGCTGGGAGAGGCTCCCGGAGAGGGCTGAGCAGGGTTGCAAAGAAAGTTGCAAAGCGCTCGTGCTCTGCCGCTTGGCCCCGAAAGGAGCCGTGCCGGTCTGAGCCCAGCCCTGCCGAGCTGTGCCAGTCCGAGAAGTACCGAGCCGTGCCGTGCCGGTTTGAGCCCAGCTGAGCCGTGCTGTGCTGAGCCGGTCCGAGCCGTGCTGAGCCGTGCTAAGCCGAGCCGTGCCGAGCCGTGCCGCTGTCCGGGCGCGCCACCCAGCGGCTGCCGACACTTGGGTGTCCGGGGGTTCTCCCTGCCCCCGTGGGGAAACAGAAATCATTTTTATTTATTTTTTTTTTCCATTTATTTTCTCTTATTTTATTTCTTTTTTATTGTTATTATTTAAATTTCCTTTCCTTTTTTTTTTTTTCTTTGGTGTAATTTCAGGAACCCACAAGAGTTTTCAAAAAGCCTTGTAAAATTTGTTCTTATGTCTACTGAAGCAGCTTAAATTTTGTAAGAGCCAGGAGTCGCTGTGTTTTTCTATTTTTTTATTATTTTTTTCTCCATAAGCGGGAGTGCAGGATGAAATCTGTGCACTGACATCCAGAGGAGTGAAGGGAGCAGTGGTGGATAGGGTTAGGGTGATGGCTTCTTGCAGGGAGTATGAGATTTCCAAAAATGTCCTCCCTTTTGCTTTGTCAGTGCAGAGCTGTCAATTCCAGCTTTCAGACCATTTAAAGAACAAGGCCAAAAGCAGTTAAGGAGCTGGGTAGTATTTCAGCTTATCATATTTTGTGGTCTGAGAACTGCATCTGAATTTATGCAAGTCTAATGTGAATTGTGCTGACTTTCCTACAAGCCCAGGCTGCTCTGAACAAACCAAGATAAAACACCATGAGGCAGTAGGACAAAACTTTTCTTCTGTTTGAGCTACACAGACAAATAAATTCAGCCTGGGGTAGCCTGAAGAGAAGCATAGTCCAGGACTGCTTGTCTACAAACCTTCTGATCATTTGAAGTGCATTCTTCTGGAGTTATATAGGTCATACTGACAAGATATTTGAATGATATCCTGAAAAGGTAGAACACAGGTATGTTTCATAAGTGCAGAAAGGGTTAATGATAGAAACAGGACGTGAGAAGAGCTGAAAATGCCTTTACATGTATGCATGGCAGCTGGAATGAGGACAGAGTCCTTGCACTTATCCACTGGGCTTGGAAATCAGGGGGAAAGTATCAAAATTTTCACAGCACCAAGACACTCTCTTTCATTTTCTGGTTTTTATCTTCTTCTGTCTTCTCTGAAGCAATTCATCCTGTCATAAAGGCAGAGCTGACTGAAGGCTTCTAATTACTGTAAGCCAACCCAAAATTTATATGGGAAAGGAGCAAAGAAAAAGAGAGGGCAGAGCCTGGGGTTTGGAGGAAGAGCAAAGAACAGCGTGGCAGAAAGTGAGAGTAAGATTTTGGGGATCTTTTTGTCCTCCCAGCTTATAGCCTTATTCCCTCTCCCCTTCTCTCACCATGCAGTCATGTCTTTGCAGCCATCTACACAATTCCATCCTTGCTACCTGGCAAGAGAAATCCCTGCGTTCCCCCCTGTGCCAACAGCCTGTGCTGGCCATAGCAACTGTTGTCTTTTCCTGTGTTTGATGTTGTCCTTGCTTAAGCAATAGAGTTCTGGTTAGTAAACAGACCTTGAGTGCCTGGCTGTAAATGACAATGCTGCCTACTGGGACCACTCTGCCCTGTAATGAAAATTACCATTTTCATCAAGCTCCTTGGCTTGGACTTCTTCCAGTTCTACTGAAGCATAGTTGCCCATTTAGTTCATTACAAAAAACAAGTAGCTCATTATAAATGATGGAAACCATGGTGTCCAAGACTGTCTTTATAAGTACTGAGCACTTGAGTATAGTGTTTCAAACAGGAGGCTCTGATGCATCTATTCAGGGTTGTGTGTTTTGTTTTGTTTTATTCTTTTTAAAGAGTGGCTGAAAGGAGGCACAGTACTTACCCATTTGCTTGTAGGATGTCTCTGTGCAAAGCAAATTTCGTTATGAATCCAGCTGGGAAGGCTTCAGCCATCTCAGTGAAATGACATCAACCGAGGCACTTCTAAGACTTTCTGTATGAACTAGCAGTTAGTGAATTAACTTTCCTTAGTGCTCACAAAATTCAGCTACAGAAAACTATCAAACACCCAGACCCTGAAGAAGAGCTGAGAACGGGAGGAGCATTTTAGGAAGAGAACCTAGAAAAGGCATTCTCAAGCCCGATGGAAGCAGCGAGTTTCTTCATACCTTGTATCTCTTCAACAGCTATGTTAGGACAAAGCATATTAAAATCAGAATTTCCACATTAATATCACATGATTTACCATCAAGTCATGTTAGCCTCTGACAGGCTCAATGTGAAGAAAAGGAGATGCTTTCTAATGCAAGTAGTTAAGCAGTGGAAATCTTCGATGGAGAACAATGTGGATACAAGATGTGCATTTTTGCAATACCAATAAACTAGACTGGTATGGCCAAGTGGTGTCTCCCTGCAAAATCTTGCTACTGGGATGACTGCTCTGCTTTCAAAATCCTCAAATATCTTTCAGTATGATTACATGCACCCCAGAGCTTAGGCCTGTGAGTCACTGTAGTTTCCAGATGTCTTACAAAAGTTCACACATCTTCTCCAAAACCTGAGTTGGCTACTTTAAAGCCAGGCTAATTATATATATGGTATTGTAAAATGTGTTTCAAGTATATCCAAGTAAGTAAACTCCAGGTCAAAGTCAGTGTTCCATGCAGGCTAAGGTGAAAAGCATCAAAAGCTACACCAACACAAAACTGTCCCCTGAATTTGGCTTTAGAATCAACAAGCTGCATTTGAGCCATAGCGCATAGTTAGCTAAAAAGTGATAGCTGTTACCTCTTACAGGCAAGAACTGTGTCTACATGGTGTAGATGCCTCAAAATTATAGTTGTTGGTCCATTGTTTGGCTTTTAAAGTGATGTTACCACTTCTTTTTCCATGTTACACACATGCTCCTCTGTTTTTTTCATGCTGTATCTTTAGCTAGCCTGTAACCAGGTTATTTCACTGTGTGGGGCTACTCATTCTAAACAAAGCTCAAGAAAATGCAAGAGGTTGTCTTTGCCCTGATTTATACTCCCATCACAATGTAAACCAGAAAGCTTAACCACATACATACCCTTGAATTGCTTGGCTTTTAAAGTTTAATCATAGGCTCTTTCTTTCTACACAGCTGAGGTTTCCATGTAATTGGAATAAAGGATATGAGAATGGAGTGCAGCTTTCCCGATGGCAGCGGTTAGTAGCTGGTTAATGCCACTGATAGCACTGCTGCCAAAGGAGAAAAATGGTATTTTCAGTAATGTTTTGAGCTCAAAATCAAGAGTTCTGAGTTCGGTTTCTGGCTCTGCCACAGACTTCTAACAATTTCACATTCTTTCTGCATGTTTCCCAGCTACAGATGAGAATAATATGTTTTGTTTTGTTTTTGTCTTTCTGATTTAAAGTGTTAGCTCTTTGTGTGGTGTGTCACCCTATCTAGGTGGGCCTATGTGACCATAATCTAGGTGGTCACATGTGACCATAAGACACAGACAGTAGATTTTCTGCAGACTTTGTGGGATCCTGCAGGAAAAAGGCATGCCATGAGTCAGCAGACTTCTCCCTCCTACTTGGCTGGGCTTTCCTCTGTGTATATATTGCATGATTGTGTTTTTAAGATACTGAGATAATTGCATGTATTTCAACTGCATATTTTCAAATCTCTCTGTCTTGTTTTAGAAAAAAATAGACAAAATGGAGCACATGTTACTGCTCTTCATATTTTTCTTGCCTACATTGGGTCTTGTTAATGGAACAGAAACTGAACAAGATTTTACTTGGCACTTAAAGAAGATTCCCCAAATTGTGAGTGAAAGAACTTTCTCCCTTGACAGCCCTAAATTCGAAGCAAAACCCAACTTAGAGCTGAACAGCGTATGTGGAATTGAGTGTCAAAGAAAATTGCCAGTGCCCAGCTTGTCTGACTTGAAGGACCTCTTATCCTATGAGACTGTTTTCGAGAATGGCACACGGACCCTGACTGAAGTGAATGTCCTTGGACTAACACCTGGTTCAGCTGGAAACACAACTACACATAAGTCATTGAGGAAGAAAAGGCAGATATATGGAACAGACAGTAGGTTCAGCATCTATGACAAACGCTTTATGACCAACTTTCCCTTCAACACAGCTGTGAAGGTCTCCACTGGCTGTAGTGGCATTCTCATTTCCCCCAAGCACGTGCTAACAGCTGCCCACTGCCTGCATAACGGCAAGGATTATGTTAAAGGCAGCAAAAGACTGAGGGTGGGCCTGATGAAAACAAAGTCCAGAGGTGATGGCAGGAGACGCAAAGGAGCTAAGAGAAGTAGGAGAGAAGCTTCTGAGGCCCAAGAGGATCCTAAAGTTGACACAGGACTGAGGCGGCGATCCAAAGGTGGTGGGAGAAAGCAGAGGAGATCTGGGAGGAAGCAGGAGACCTCGGATGGCATGCCCTCCTTCCAGTGGACCAGAGTGAAGAGTACCCACATCCCAAAAGGCTGGTTTAAGGGTGTCTCTGGGGATATTGCCCTGGATTACGATTATGCTGTTCTTGAGCTCAAGCGTCCCCACAAAAGGAAATACATGGAACTAGGAATCAGCCCAACCATCAAAATGATGCCTGGGAGCATGATCCACTTCTCAGGTTTTGACAACGACCGATCTGGGCAGCTGGTCTACAGATTTTGTAGCATTTCTGATGAGTCCAATGATCTCTTTTATCAGTATTGTGATGCTGAGCCCGGCTCCACTGGATCTGGTATCTATCTCCGTCTTAAGGAGCCAAACAAAAAGAAGTGGAAACGCAAGATCATTGCTGTTTATTCGGGCCATCAGTGGGTGGATGTCAATGGGGAACAGCAGGATTATAATGTAGCAGTAAGAATTACTCCTCTTAAATATGCCCAGATTTGTTTCTGGATACATGGGAATGACGAGAATTGCACACAAGGCTGAAGAGAGCTGAAACTAACTTGCCTAGCACCCAAATTATAATAGAGTGAAAATCTTCTGCCAGCAGTTACCGAAAGAACATCACTCTACGTCAGGATGCTTTTGAACTCAAAGCTTGCAAGTAATGTTACGGTGACTTGAGTAATGCTGAATGGTTGGGGAGCGGGTAGAGTTGTCAAACAAAATATTTTTAATTGTAATCAACCCTAGATCTGCACTTAAAAGCCCAAACTATATTTATATCCGCAATTGTGATAAATTCAAATCGTTCATGTCAGAAAAAAAAAATGACTACGCTTGTATGTCATTTTTTTTCCCCAAGGGAAGGATTGAAGCTTCTCAAACTGGTATCCAACAATATATGTTTTTTCAATGGATTTTCTTTTCTCAGGGTTCAGTTCCAATTCTTCAAATTCAAGTTTTGTGTACATCACTTTACTGTCTGTGCAGAATAATCCAGAGTACTGCATGAGACCAAAAAATTATTCTGGCATTTTCTGAAGACCACAGCTCCATGCTGAAAAACAGCAATCTAGTTTGTGCTTGTTATTTTGGAAAGTTTCCTAATCTGGTTGCTGGAGGAACACTCCCATGGAAACCCCAAATTTTTGTAGCTGATGACTAGACCTAAAGGGCAAGTTTTCACTTCATTGCTCAGTAGAAACAACAAAGAGAAATTAAAGAACAGAGAAGTTTCCATGTTTGGGAGAAGAAGAAACATCTGAGCATAACTTAATGCCTTCTTTGAGAAGCAATACAAGTCTTAAATATATGCATTTGTTTTCTAATTAGTATTTGGAAAACTGTAGCTTTAGCTTCTTTTCAAACGTTTATCTTTCCCATTAGGCAAGGTCACTGACTTCAGAAGTGGCTGTTTGACAATCATTTGGAGCTTCACTTCAAAGCCACAGATGAGAGTTTTGTTGGGTGCTAACCATTTTTGCAGGTTCTTAAAATTAGTTTATAAGAATTCAGCTGCATAGATAGGATACTCTGGGTATTAGACTCGGAGTTGGAAAGCAATATTTTGGCATGTCTATATGGTTTTACAAAGTTTTAATCATGTCATATTCAGGCTCCACCTCAACATGAGTCACAGGGTTAAACTAAAAAATTCTCCCAACCACATTATACCACCTTCTGAATGGTGGAAGAACTACCCTGTAGATGATAACAGGTATCTTGCTCAGTAGCAGCAGTAGGTATCAAAAACTTTGGTTCAATATAATTGCTGAACCACAGAGTTAATGAAACAAGAGAGCTTGACTTTGACGCGTGAATTGCCTTTTTAAAAAATTGGATGCTGTTGATTGCCACACAAGTCTTAATCTTGTATTTTGTATCAAGATTTTGAAGCGCACAGGATTGTTATGGTGCTATGTTAATCTAATATAAAATAATATTTCAAATCACATCCACTCTATTTCAGATCACATCCATTGGGTTTCGTTACTTTTATAATTATTCACCATTGCAATACTTAATTTTTTGATGATTAGGTTTATACTGACCAAAATTAATTTTCTTCCTATGCAGAAGAAAAAAAAAAAAAGAACAAGATTTTAAATTTGATTTGTTTCTTGGTATATTTGAAATTTGCTCGTAACATTTTTCAATGAAATATGATCATTGTTAGTAACCCACTTTTTTGTAGATGATTGAAAATATAAACCTGACACTTTGAATGTGCAGGCAACTTTCTTTCATATATTATTACCAAAGGATCAAAATTGAACAGTTGTTTCCATACCATAACTCTAGCAATATTTCATTGATTGGAAGAGATCTCACTTTAAAAGAAATTATTTCTTTCAATTTTAGCCTTTCCAGGCAACATTTAACTTTTTTTTTTTTTTTAAACTTGTATGATTGTTTGCAGAAAACTAATATTTTTTAAAGTTTAGAAATTAATGTCTAAGGTTTTAAAGTTAATTATATTTTTTGTTGTTGTTAACATCTCTATGAAGACATACAGCTTCACTGACTAATTTTAAATCACCTCAGTCGAATATTTAATGTTCTTGCTCTATGCAGCAGGCCTACAATATTCCTTAGGTGGCTCTATAATGTGTTTCTTACGTGCCTTTTTCCATAGTTACTGAAACAAATAAGGTACCATATGGTTAATCAATATAAGTCAGCATAGCTCCTTGGATTTTGTTACAGTTTTTTCCTCAACATCAATTCGGGTCCAAAACAGATCAAGATAAAGTAGCTTAGTAAATCCATTGTTTGGGGAGTCTTCTTTAGGTGTGCTCGTTAGGAGAGGAAATACCATGACTTCTTTATTAGTTTGGGAATCAGGGACAAGGTAGGAACGAAAAATGTTGATGTCAGCTTTCAAATGGTCTTGTTCTAATAATCATCTGCTTTAAATACCTCAGCCACAACCTGAAATTCTCATACTAGGCTGGTAAGAAATGTTTATCCTCAGAGGATGTCCAGTGCCTTATTTTATGGTACTAAGAGATTGAAGAGGCTGGGCAGCGCAACATAAGAATTAATCACAACTATATATATACATATTCAAGTCTCTGTGTCTGAGTGCACATGCAGAGACACATACAAGCATGGCCTTGGAAAGCACCCACTCTTTTGTCTGGGCCAGCACCTTCAGGCAAGTGGAAGACATGAGTGGCCAAAATGTTCATGCCTGTCATATCCTAATGCCAGACAACATTTCAATCTGCTGCTTAGCCTAATAAAGAAGGAAATGCTTTCTGTAGGTGTTGTTACTGCTTACTACAAGAACTTCCTAAGTAGTTCATAAATCAGGTATTTAAGTACTGGTGCGTGCAGCCCCAGAGGCCTGCATTAGGCTATTGGTACCAGCCACTGCAAGTAGGACAAGAACTTTTGAGCTGTCAAAATCTCAGATTGCCTTCAAAGAACTGCAGTTGGTATCTTGTTATCTATGAGAAAATACAGGAGGGGGTGTTCCTAGTAAGGAGTATAGTGCACAGGCATCAGGGCTGGGTTCCCAGCATACAAGTGGACACATCCCTTGCAATGTTTCTGCAAATAATTTTCCCCTTTTTCAAGTACTGGAGTAGGCATTGTTTGTTTTCCTCAGTACTAATGCTTTTCCATAGGAGTTGAGCTTTTCCTTTAACCGCTTTTCTGGCATAGGGGGGAAAAAAAAAAAAGAAAAAAAAAAAAAAAAAAAAAAAAAGCTCAGACAAATCCCTTTTCTGCTAAGGAGCTACTGGCAATTTGTAAGCTTTCCCCAGGCCAAGGATACGCCTCACATACAAACCATTAACACACCCAGACCAGCTTCTGCAAGACACTTGTGCATGTGTTTAGTTTTGGGCTCTGAGAAGTATAATGGAAGCCAAGCAGGTTCTCTGGGATGTGAAAAATTAAGTCTATGTTATCTTACAAAAGAAAGACACAATGTTAGGTAACAAAATTTATTTCTGTTATGTGAGATATGTGGTACCCAATGCTTTCAAAATTGCTTAAAGCTTCTCCTTGACTCACTTCATAACTTACCCATACAAATTCTACAGATTTATGAGTCTGTATAGAGTATGAATCAACCCAGAATATGGCCAAGTAGGAAAATAATTCATCTAAAAGTGGAGGAAAGAAGCAGCTGGGGTCTTCCTCCTACTCTGCTGATAAGGAATCAGCTTGCTGCAAGCAGCAATTACTACAGAAAGAGACAGCAAAAGAAGTTGATGTTACAGAAGACCAGGAAGAAGGAGGTGGTGTATGAAGGATAAAGAAAGTGAAAAGTAAATGGCCGTGAGGTAGCAGAAGGACCTACTGTAAGAAAGAGTTGGCAGGTGGGAAAGGCACAACAGTATAAGTTAAGATGTAAAAGTCATAAGTTGCACGAACATCTCCTCTCACTGTTAAGCATGGGGCTCTTCTTCCCAGCTAAGAGCACCAAGGAAAGGGCTGTGAGAGGGAGGGTTCAGGTTCTGGCAGGGACCATTGACAGGCAGCTGTTGTGGACCCTGACCTACAGTCCTTGCCCAAAGTCGCAGGGATTTTGCTTGTGCTCGGTACGTCAGGGTCCTTGGGAAGCAACAGAGCCAAAAGGGTCAGCGGCGCAAACCTCCTGGCACACCGCGTCACCGAGAGGGTGGTAAGTGACGCCAATTTCTTCCATGTGAACATTTCCAAACCTGACAATTTGGTGGGATTTCTGCCAAGGCTGTTCCCTGTTGGAAAAAGGAAAAAAAAAATCCCAAACTTGAAGTGTTTAAGCATTGGTTTTGCATTTTGCATGTATCTACAAAGCCTAGCCAATATTTTTTTAAATACCTTTAATATGTTTGGTAGCTTTGTAGAAATGTAGTCAATTCTTTCTAGTTTTAAAGCACAGCATATTGCAGATACTTCCATCTATAATCTACTGGACTAAGGAATAAAATGAAAAAAAATATATATATTATTAGATTGAAAGCTTAAAATTGCACAATAACCTCAAAGGATTTGGAAGCACATTTGAGTCCCTGGTTTTCATTTTTATTTGCACCAGCCTTTTGCTCCAAGTGTGAGGTAGTATTTAGGTTAAAAACCTTAAGAGGTAGCTTTTATGATTCTTTAATGTTCTTAGTTTTTTAAAGAGTGACAGCAAACTTCAAAAAAAATGTGTTTTTATATTTTAAGCTGCACAAAATTACAGCTCATTTGGGAAAATAAATGCAAACCTTCACTATATTAAGATGTTATACAATGCACATGCTATGTCAATAAATATTTTCTATTGTTTTTCTTTTCCTCTTTCATGATGTAGTTTGTTAGCTATGTTGTTATTGCACAAACTCAATTCTGCAAATGCCTTTAGCTGCTTGTCATTGAATCATATGGGACATGGTCTTACAAGATGCTGATGTCTCTTTAAATTTATTATCAGGAAAATTTCCCTGTCTAATCCTTTCTTCAGGATAGCTATTCTGTGAGCAAATTTGATGAGTAAGAAAATTGGTTCAAGAAGGAAATGACTCACAGACTGTGCCACAACTTATTAATTCTGAAATAAGTAATTAGCTGTGTTTCTGCTGTTAGCAACTGTTGTGCTTTCTACCTTGGAGAGCTGTTGAACCAGGCCACATCAGAAATGTGTAAAATATTACAGTGTTGTTTCTCAGCATTCTCTTATCTCTATTCCCTTGAAATTGGTGGCGGTTTGACCACTGGCAGTAAAGTGAGAGATTTTTGGCAAGGATGAGAGCTGCTGGAAATATTAAATGGAAAGTTTAGAAATGATTACCGCAGTGATTACCAGCGTGTCCAATACAAGCAATGTTTAACAGGGGTCTGGTGAGGGCTCCCAAACGAGCTCCGGTGGTCCTTTCATGGGGACCATGTGGGAATAACCAGGACTGAGATGTTCCTCACCTGCACCAAAAGTCCTTCTGGGGCTGGGAGCAGTGTCTCAGTCCTTCTGTTTCTGCGTCTGCCAATGAAGAATGTCTTGGTGCCTGAGAAATATTCCTCTGTCCCTCCTCAGGGACAGACCCAGAGCTGAAATCCGTGAGCTCTGCAGGCCACTCCCAAGTCCCTGACCGGGGTTAGTTGCTCCTATGGGAGGCACATTTCAGGACACGCTGTGGGTCACACATTTCCACAATGCCACCGTGGCAGCCTATCCAGTATCAGCTCATTCTGAAAATGTTCCAGCATGGCTCAGTTCCTTGTGCTAGCATTTTTATGTCCTGCTTCCAGTACCCAGCATCTTTAACAAATACTCAAAAGGACTTGAGCAAATACTAGCAGCCACTGCAATCTCAAGCCCACCGGATAAATTTTGTCTTATATGGGTTATGAACAGTACTCCCGATGAGCCGCCCATCCCTATCACTTGGAATAACACAACCTTGAGCCTTGACAATGGCTGTTGTTAAGAAAGAGGATCAGATATACTGGAAAACCTACACATGCATTTGATAAACATTGTGCCTCTTGGCAATTATATGCTCACCATATTTATTGGGGTTGCCATGGCTCTACGTTTCCACGTGAAAGAGCTGGAAAACATTGGATTAAACCAAGTCGGGCGGTTTTTCAGACAAATTACTCAGCTGCCCTTTGGCTACAATTGCAGCACTCTCCTGCTCCTCCCCTCCCATGTAATTTCCAGTTTTGTGGATTAAATTCTGGTTTCAGCTTTGCTTAATCAGAGATGAAAGCAGCTGCGAGGCAGCAGGGCAGTGAAGGACCTTTTCTGGATGCGTGTTGAAGCCGGGTGGGCTCCAAACATAAAAGAGGACAAGAGCACGATCAACAGCAAAACCCCACAGTGCCTTGTGGAATGGAAAACAAAACAGGATTTCTATTTTTCTTACAGTAAACGGAAAACCCCATTTTTTTTCCATTCCTTTGCCTTCTCTTCAATGATTAACTCATCAGCTAACCAGTGCTGATGCTCCTACAGGAGCAAAAAAAGCTGCTCTGGGGTGGAGGTGCAGGATGCCAGCAAGGGCTTCCCCACCCTAACAAAGGAAAAAAGAGGATGCAGGGTTATTTCAAAGGGGATTTCCAAGTAATATGAAGGAAAAAAATATATATATGAAAAGTCATCTCTAAGATACGAACCCTATTTTTGTTTAGGTAAAATATACCATACATACAGAGGAGTTTGATCTGCTGCATATTATATGTATTTACATTTTATAGAGCATTACATGCTAAGGATTTATGATCTGTGAACATGGTTATTCCTTAAAAAGAAAAAAAAAAAAAAAAAAAAAAAGAAGAAAAGAAAAAAAAGTGAAAAGAAGTGAATACTCAAAAGAAAAAGTAGTTTTGTTAGTGTCCAGTTTGGATATGGTACTTCATTGCTTGTAAATTTACCTGGTGCACCAGTGATATGTGATCAACTAATGTGGCTGGTATGACCGAAGGGCTTGTGTCCTTCACTTATTGCTTATTGACTTTTTCCTTAATGGCTGGGATTAAATAAAACCTGGCCTCAGTACCTTAACCAATTTGAGGTTAGTGCTCAAAAAAAGCCATTTTAAACTCCTCCTCAGCTGGAAGGAACCTCAGGGACTGCGTTAGCCCAGACCAGCTGCCATCCTGTGTCTGTGTGGACCTTTGCGTCCTTCACATTTAACAACCCCAGCTTTGCCCCAGCCCATTCTCTACCCATGTGTCATTCAGCTAACAAAGCATCTTTTCTCTGCTTGTGTACATCTGAAAAAGTAGTATATCTTACACGTAGTCAACTCTGAATTTGTCGATGTGCTTTTTCACCTTGATCCTATGCCCTGGAATAGGTTTTCGTGCCTTCGACTCTTATCACCCTTAACTATGGCAATGATTTTTATAGCCAGGCCAAGTCCAGCTCCAGCAATGTACGGCTGTGGTGCTGCTGCTCCCAGGTGGTTCGCTGTGAAACACGTGCCTCAGTCCTGCAGGTGGCAAACTCCAGTGATTCCCTATTCACCGCTGGGCTCTGCTTCCCTTATTTCCCTACCAGCTTTATGCTGGGTGTGCACAGAGCTGAGGGATGTTTTGGGGAAGGCAACTCCTGCTCTGCTGCAGAGACCTTGGAGGATGTGCAGCTGGGGCAGGCCTGGACCTCGTCCTTCCAGTGTCCCCATCATGGTTGTACGGGCTCAGATGTTTCAATTTGTGGGGTGGGGGCACCCCGAGCTGAAGCATCTCACGAAGCAAGGCAAGGGCCAGACTCTAGCAGCCATCATGGGGCTTAATCTCCTACACACATCCTCTTCCCTAGGGTCCCCAGGGAAGCTTTATCTAATTTCCCTGATTTAACAGACTGCAAAAATGATGATAATTGGATGCTATTAATCAGATTACCCTAACCAGACTGCAGACAGCTCGCATGGCCTCAGGACGTGAACGGGGCTAACAGTGGGGCCAGGCTGATCCTGGTGGGGTGCCCGGTGCTGGTGCTGGGCTCCACATCTGGCTAGCACCCACACATCTGCCCAGCACGATGCCAGATGGGCACGGACCTCTCTGGATATCCAGCAGTGGTGAGGTTTCTCTCAGCCCTTATTTAAGCCTGCTGCTGAAATAACCAAGCCAGCCAGACGTGTCCCCTTGCAGCTCTGCAGCCTGACAGGGCTAATCCAGGCGCTAGGCCTGGAAAGCCAGGCTGTAGGTGGTGTAGATGGGCCTTATCTGCTGTGTGTCTCTAAGTATCATTTGCAAAACAGGCAATTTCAGCTCTATAGGTGGGATAAAGCTTTCCTGCTCCAGGAGGATGTACAGTGAAGATCGCCAATCTTTTTTACCCCCTCCATACTCACACAAAGTAAATTTAAAACATTGTAAATACTGAAAAGGACTTAGGAAAGCCACCCAGAGTTCTCCCAGCTGATCCCAAATATTATCCCCAGTCCTTTTTCATGCATTGCCCCCAAGTTTCCCAGCCAGTTCCTCAGCTCCACTCAGCTGATCCCTGGCAGCAGCACTGGATGCGGGCACCAAAAAAGCTGCCCAGAGGCAGCAGGGCCAAGCAGAGCACATCCAAGTCTACAGGGGGAAGCCGTAAAGTTTGTAAAACTGGAGGAGATATGTCTGGAAGGGAAAAACTTCCAGAGGCACAGCTCTCCCTCCTTGCTTCACTGTATCCTTAAAACAACACTTCTCCTCGAATCATCCCATATTTTATTGTGCACGGTGATGCTTGGGCTGCAAGCACAGATCCTTTGGCAAGCCCATGTGGCCCCGTGTGCTCGTCCCCAGCCACCTCAGGCAGAGCCTGGGGCACAGAACCAAAATGACACACTTTGGGGTCAGGGGGGCTGCAAGCACACACTGCCCTTTTGCAGGCTGTATTGAAACTTGCTTTATTTGGCAACTTCCATACTTAAAGGTGAGTATTTTTATATACCTATAAAGACACATTTCTAGATCTAGAAGCCTGCCCCCTAATTTTAAAGCAAACTGTAAATTTTTGGGCCTGTCCAGCAACACCACCATGGAACCAAGTATATCCAAGTAGAAACATGATAAAGCTACAGCTTAGAGACACCAGCCTGGTAGAAGCCAAGGTGATCTCTGAAGCACATAATTGCCAACATAAGGGCACAACATACAGCCATTCTGAAAAAGATGACCTGATTATTTTTTTTTCCTACTGTGTTTTAACTAAGCCCACAGAAATAAAACTTTCAAGCAATTAGGGGTGTTGTCTTTATGTCAGTGGGATGCAAACATCATGATGCCCTCTCAGCAGAGGGTTTTTTGGGCAGCCCCCCAGTCACAGACTGAGGGACCAGCTGGCAGCGCTGCGTGCCCTGGGGGAAACCAAAATCAGCAGTGGTGGAGATGATGCTTAGTCTCTCTGCTCCTGGTGACAGGGTCTTTCCACAGATATCTAAACAACATCTGGCTGACGTGGCCATTAAACCCACAAGACTTTCCATGAGAGCAGGGTAGTTCAGACCCTTGTATACTATAATATATAGTACATCAGTGAACACATTATATTTAGGGATATGTACACTACGTACATTGTAGCGTGATTGCAGATGTGGTACTCGGTATCTGAAGAGGAGATGAGACACGTCTTGGTGCCTGAGCACCAAGTAAATAGGAACCTGGCAGCTGGGACAAGCCTTCACTCAGCACTGTGTCCTGCTCAGGGTGCTGCACTTCACAGGAGGTGAGGATCAGTGGAAGAGAGTGCAGAGAATAAAAAGACTGATCAGCTCTCTAGAAATTTTGACTAACAAGGAAATATTTAAGGAAGAAAGCATAAAAGAGAAGAACGACCACGCTAACTGTCTTCAAAAT